CCCTACACCACCTGCCATAGCCAAACAGAGGAATACCCTTTTATTTGTTTGCTTTTAACGCAGTTGCTGGTTGCTCATGAATGGCACCGGAAAAGTTGAATCCAGGACCAGGAGAAGCAGCCCATGCTTTATGCATGCTCCTGAGCGTACATGCTTGAAACCAATTGAGTGCAAGAGAGAGAGAGAGAGAGAGACAGACACTGAGAGACCCGCATATAGCATAGTGTTGTCCTTTAAGCTTTCCAGGACTGAGTGAGAACCAGGCATCCAACTGGAAGTGGACCTTGTATATAATCGAGGATAAAGTGTTAGGATGCTGATGGGCATCATTCACAGTGCAGGATACTCGTCATGTTGTTCTCGATTTGATGACTACTTTGCTGGTGGCAATAGTCTTTGCTGTGTGGTGGCAAGCTGAATCTCTTTTGCCTTTGACATGAGGCGACATGAGGTATGTTGCTTTATGGCATCACTGCGGCGTGCCAGATTCCACATGACACTTTCAATTTATCACCCAGAAGTGCCACCGAGTCTGGTGTATCAACCCAGTGACAGACCGCGGGTGCTAGGAGCTGGAATGTGGGTGAACCTCCTAGTGAACAGCATGGGTTCAGCGGCAGTTGCAGCATGGGTTGGTTTTGGACCTAAATCCTGTTGATACAGACACCTCGGGTGTGGGTCCCACACGCGCGATTCGCGCAGTGAGGTGGATGTGAATGTAACACCTGGGCAGCCCCCAGAGCGTATCGTGCTCTTCCAGGCCGAGAAAAAGAAGAAGGAAAAGGAAACGGAGAAGGAGACACTATACCCTGCCAAAAAAAATGAGGCTTCCACAAGTTTCACGGTTCCAACATGTTTCAATTGGTTTCCAATGTTCAGTTATTTTCCATCAGGGGGATTCACTGAACTCTATCTATTTTGATCTATTTTGTAATTTTTGGATATTTTTAGTGAGGGAGTGAAGACAGGGAGTCTTTTGCAGCCTTCTGGCCCGCACTCCAAGTTAATTTCATGCACATTTGGGGAGAGCATTGTGTTCTTTGTTTTGTGGGGGGTGGGAGCGAGCGAAAATGTGCCATCAGATGTGCCGATGTGAAGGCATGGCCAGATTTCAGTCCAACGGAATCATTTGATATCATTTGTATTTTGTGGGTTCCGTTTCTTGAGGCCCCGGTCAGGCAGTCAGGCGGGTCCTCTATGGAGATGAGGTCAGTGCTTAAGTTTAATAATTGGGATGGAGATCAATTCACTGTGCAGTGGATGTTTGGGCTGCAAAACCATGTGGGATGGCCAGAAGGTCCCACAGTGAAACTCTCTATACTAGCCGAGATCAGCTAGTCTTGAAATTATTGAACACACGACAAAAGCCCAAATGTATATAAGATTATATATATATATAAGTTTTATACTCATTCCGACTCATCTCATGGATTTTTGAGTTTAATCTAGATTCTATGATTCCTTCCTCCTCAGTTGATCCATCGAAGAGGCTTTCGGCCAGACTTCTCTGGATAACCTACAACTCGGACACTTCCCGGCACGGCCACCACAACCATGCCCATCAGGGGCAGAACATCAGCGAAGTGGCGGCTGAGTTTGCTGCCAAGCACGTGCTGACGCCGGCCATGGCGCAAAAGCTGCACAGCCTACTCCGCGAGGCGGTGTCGGAAGCAGCCAAGTCTTCACATTCTCACCGTTTGTGGTACTTGTGCGGACGATGCCTGGTAGCCGCTTGTAGCCAGGCTTTGGGTGTTGAATTCGGCACTTCCATGACCAGGTGGTCCTCAAGCAGGAACTCCAGAACCATACCACACCTTGAGCGGGCAAAGAGGCACCCGCACGACAAGCGCTCGGCTCGGGGTTTGTCGAAGGGCTGGCTAGGGGGATGAGAGCTTCAGGATACCATTACTTCGTGAGAACTAATTGCAGTCTGGTCAGGGGTCTCACCAAAATCATATCCAAGCAAACCAAGGCTCCTATCGTACTCAGACGTCCGCTGGCACCTCAACACTAGAAACATCAGAACAGGTGAACATCCAAGGATGGTAGATTGCTTTGTTCATGCCTTGGGATGGGAACCAGGTACAAGGTTTTGATTGACCTGTACACGTGTCTCTAGATTGTGAATGAGTCCCCAAGCTTCGGTTGACGTAAAAGACACCAATGATCACCACATGAGCGCATAAGAGTGCGTGTTGGACCTATCAAGGAAGGTTTCATCATGTTTTGTACCGGTGAGAAACAAGGTTTCCACAGGTCCCATAGGTGCCCTCCTTCGTCAAGGAGAGGCCAGGAGAGCGTTTGTTTTTTCTTGGACCTGACCGTCTTGGACTCTGAAGATGAGGCGATGCCATGACCGTTTACAGCTAAACATGTCCGGAAGGACCCCGCATGACAAAGCAAATAAGTAGTAACAAGAAGCTACTAGGAACAAGTGCCACGCTAGTAGTAACAGGTGCCTTACTAGTAGTAACAAGAAGCTAGTAGTGGGTCTTTGGTGATGCTCGTGAGAGGTGTCATCACTCCCGATGTGGTCATCCGATGTGGTCTGGAATTCTTGAAGGTGTGGACTCCGGCAAGAGGAAGCCCTTTCTCATCAGCGCTGATGAGCTTCTCATAGAAACGGATCACAGGATGTTGCTTTCAAAGAACGATCGTGAGAGAGGGTAGGACAGAGTCCTGAGAGTGTTACACTGTTCCTTCGATTTGGTCTCCCCAAAAAAGAAACATCCTGGTACTCCACATCTGTGAGTTTCACGCGAATTGGCAGTTCGTTTGGAAACTGTCGTGTAGGCTCCGGTCACATCGCAGATGTCAAAGACTTCAGAGACAAACCGCTCGGAGCGGGTCACCCCGGGGAGCTGTTTTCAAAACAGACCTGAAGACATGATGAGAGATGTGGAGTGCAAAGTCCTATAACCTGAGGCACCTGAAAGTCACCTCCGGGCTATGTAGGACTTTGTTGTATGGGATGGAAATCCTTTGCGGGTGTGAAGGAGAATGACAATCAGTGTAAATTCATGGTAGATGCTTTAGAGATTTCGAAACAAGAAGACCCCGCCCCATGCCTTGCACAGCATCTCAATTCTTGGATATATTGACAATACATAAGGTATGTTGACCTGATTTCGGGACAGTCCCTGAGACACTCAAACCTTCCATTTCAGCAATAGTCTGAATCCAGAAAACCAGAACCGTTTCCTGGGTTCCCAGCACCCACAAAAGCGTATTCTCGATGGGTTGGTAGATCCTTCGATCAGCTCCCGGGGCCGCACCGCCCGACGCCGCCAATGACGTCGCAGCACCGACCCCCGACTGAAGCCGATGGGAGAAGGAGGTGGATCAACCAAGAAGGCAGTTAGGCTATTGTGACCTTGGTATGATTTTGGCCAGCAGGTGGTTCATTGGTGCATCCTCTAACATGTGCCAAGTCATTGTTTGTTGTTTTAGACTTTGTATTGTGAATGGAAGAGAAGACCTGTGGCTATGGATCACTTACAGGGCCCAGTGTTGGGATACCCGGATACTCACCCTGCTAATGAAAGACGTCTTGAGTGGTGCAAAACTAACCCTGAAAGAAACTGATAAACAGCTATTCTGCTGCAGCATGGCTGTTTCATGTTTGTTGTTGCAGTCTCAGTCATCGGCTTCAGTCAGGTGATATCTGATATCGGATTGTTCAAACGATATCGTGGAAAAAAAAAGGGGGTGGAAAACCATAAAAAGCAAGCTTGTGGAACCCCGACTTGGCTGCTGAGTTTTGGATCAATTCGCAGCGAATCACCTCGCCGACCTGTCCAACATTCTTTGACATCGATGTTGAGGTAGGGTTCGAGTTGAGCCCAGGGCAATGGGGGAGCAGCCAAACAGATGCTAACAGTCCTTTCCTCACAGAGTTTAGAGGGTTAAAGAATGTGAAAGATTTGATCCATAAACTGATGGAGTGGAGCGATTGCATATATTATGATTATTATGTCTGCAGCCAAAGATCTCATGCCAGAGTTCCCCACCAACGACGCTCGACGTACAAGGATCATGCCTTTGAAAAGGGGGGGCCAACCATTGAGTGCAGGGCTAGGGCTAGTTTCGTCATATTGGATGGAACAACTGCTTGTAGCGTCTGAAGCTGGCAGCAAATTGGATACAAGAAACGTCATTGCCGGGCATGAAGAGCAGACACTCTTTGCCCACAAAACAAGACATTTACCTTCACGTACTGACGAAAGTGGATGGAATTGCACGAGGTCCAAATATGACATGAATGAGAGGGCAAGATGAGTGAGGCCATGATGAGTGGACTGATAAATACCAACAGCAACACCGACACCTTCATGCTGAAACCAGCACACATCACCACCCCAACAACAGCAACAGCAACAAACAAGAACAAGCAGTATTTAACCCACCTCACCGGCCATTCCCTCCTCGGCCTCTCAAACTCCGCTGCCTCCATGGCGTGCCATGGGCGCCGTCTTGCGGATTTGCCCTTCGCGCCAGGTCGGAGTGAAGGAAAGCTGAACGGAGCTGACTACCGCGGGATTCCAAAATGAGCTAATCCCATCCAATCCCCATTGTTTGCCTCAATGCCCTTTTGTGGCTGTGAAGCTAGCCTCGCCTAGCTCAAGAATCAGACCAAGTAAACCTGAAGCCGCTCTGATCCGAATGAACTGACGTATTTGTGTAGCAGCTTTCTGGGAGACTCTAATTTGTCAAAACCCAGCTTCACTTGCTGCATCCCCAACCCTGTTGAAGAGTGTCTCCAGAAATGGTCGACGAGTCGAGGACAAGACCTTTTGTTACTAGTTGCTTCTTGTTCCTGGTAGTAAGGCCACCAGCTACTAGTAGCGTCCTCTTGCTCCTAGTAGCGATGCCCTTTGTTCCTAGTAGCGTCCTTGTTCCTAGCTTTGCTGCATTCAGCACCGGTGCACCTCTCACGCCAGCCGGCAAGCCGTGCACGCGTGGCCTCGAGAATCAACGAGCCACGCAGCCCCAGCGCAGTGATGCGCCAGGCTCTGGGTGCAGCGGCATTCATCAGCGGGGGGTTGCACCGTCATCATGTACTGAGTAAGAGGACTTCAGACTCAGAAGACCCATAAAAGATATGTAATTTAAGGGACATAGAACGTTCCACTGTCAAGCTAGACGAACTGAATGTGGGAAAGCGGCCAGGTGCTTTTCGAGGACGAGGATAGCCAGGCAGGGTTTGTAATGAGGTTGTTGGCGGTGTAGAGGTTTTCATTCAAGCGGTTTCAGGAACAAACGGATAGTCTGGGTTCTGCCCACACAAGGTTGAGTCCTGGAAGCTACGAGGAACAATGGCAGTACTACTAGCAGCAAGACACTACTAGGTTGGAGGCCATCGCTATTAGGTCGGAGGCCATTACTAGTAACAAGAAGCTACTAGTAGCAAAGGGCATGACTACTAATTTCCAAGAGATTTGCTCATGGAGGCGATTGTGGTCCCTTCGGGAGACGAATCTACAGAGGCAGAGAGGCACGACAAAACTGGCCCACGGATGGAAGACCGGCAATGAATGCGCGTCAACATGCCATGAAGCAATCATAAGCCATTATGAACCAAACTCGGGCCATAGGATATCACAGGATGCAGGTATATACTTCTATAATCTTCTATACTTTCACTAGGAACAAGGACGCTACTAGGGGCTCCTGGCATCGCTACTAGGAGCAAGGACGCTACTAGGGCTCCTGCCCTTACTACTAGGAGCAAGGACGCTACTAGGAGCAAGAAACTACTGGGAGTTCTTTCCTTTGCCATCGATGTTTTCAGTTCAGTACTTACAAAGAACCGTATCGGCGGCTTTCACTCTGCTAGGTCTGGCAGCTCCTCCCAGTCCCGGCAGGCGAGGTCGTGGGTGACCGGGGGGGTGGCCAGAGCTTGTGGTGTAAAAGAGTCCAACATTGGTTCAGGCCCGGGAATGCTCAGGAGATTGTTATACAGATATCATGCCATTATTATGCATTATTTCACTTTTAATTTATGAGACATGGTGCAAAATTGGGCCTAAGGTGTTTGTTTGGCTTCACCCAATGGTACGAGTTAGGCTAAGCTTTGGCTTCAAGGAAGGAGGGAACCATGCGGCTCATGGATTCTTTCCGCCAATCACCGAAGCCATTTATATAAAATGAGCGATTTTCATGGAATCTCTATCTCCTGAAGCTCTTCATATCTCTTCATCCTGAGGTTGATGCAGACTCAAAGGTGAAGAAGGTTCGGCTGGAGGGTCGGCAAGAGCGCGGGCATCGACCCTCCAACAAGTCTCGTGCATCGAGAGAGTCTTTCGAGACAGGTCGTCCGCTTGTCACTGGGAGAAGTGGACGGGCTTAATGAGCGAAAATCCCGGTTTCGGAGTGCTAAGAAACAGCGAACGAAACGGATTGCTCGGAAAACAGCTTGGAATTCTTTTCACTGGGGCAGCTGGGTGCATTTGCCTCGTGACACCAGTATACTGTATACGAGTTATATCGGGTTGTTATTTGATGTTATTTGGTTTCTTTAGGATTTTGATAGAAAGACAACATCATGGCAAAGTGGCGTGAAGGTTTTCCTTCTTGCAAAGCCAAATACGCTATTTTCACCCAGCCCTGAAAAACCGCCCCAGCAACTACCCATGGCTCGCCATCAGCCCGAAAAGGCTCGTCGGAGGCGCGGTGAGGTTTTGGAGGCTCACGAGCGGGTCGGGGACATTTGCAGTGAAAGCTGGGGCCGTTCACTTCCTGCAATCAACTGAGGAGCAATAAGTAATTCAGCATGTTTCAAGAACTGCCGGCAGCCATCCTCCCAAGCACGCTCGCCGGTGTTCTTGCGTTCAGGACATGGATGCGTGGCACTGTGCCCAATCCATCGGTGAAGCTGCAGGGTGCTTGTCTTCTGCGAGCGCATCGGTCTGATCCTGAAATCGGTCACATTGGCATTTGTGGAGTATCGGTTCGGAGGTAGAAGCTGTGCATGGAGTGTGCTCTTAAAGTAGCCGTGGACACAGTGGTCCAAACAGGCCACGAAATTAGCAGAGTTTGTGCCAAGGTCACCAAGCTGGCGCTGAGAGGTGTACCCCTCACAGATGAGGAGTGAAGACTGAAGACTACGTAGGGACGTAGGGAAGATGTCATTCGTGTGCTTGAGAATAACCTGGCAATCTAAGGTATTCACTCATTGACGAAGCGAATGATCTCTTCTTCGGTGAAACGTTGTCAAACATCTCGTGGCGTTTTTGGCTCGTGCTCGAGCCCGGCTCCGCGGCTGTGCCTATCGTCAGATGAAGCGATGCAGCTGACCAGAGCTTTCTTACGTTTCCTGAAGCCATGTGCAGTTCCATTTTCTCTTCAAGTTCTCCATGAGCGTAGGCGAGGCAGATGCACAGGTGAGTGAGGGGGTCAGGTATTCTCAAAGACCTGCACGTTGCTTATTATGTTGTTGCTATTCTGTACTGTACGTAGATGACATGGTTTTTGCATTTTCTCCACTTGGGCAAAGGCTTGCTGGAATTAGTTGAACGCGTTCGGGGTTCTCTCAATCGCATGAGACTTACCCCGAGTAACCTTGCCGAATTTGCAAAAACCAAGTTGGGTCATTTGTCGGTCAGTGGTCATTTATCTTAAAACCACCTTCATGCTCTTATCTCTTTGTTCCGTTTTCAGTCAAAGCATTCCACCACCGGACCTTGTCTTCCCATAGGACGACGGCTCGGACGGCTCACTGCGGTTCTGCTGAAGTGGTTCGCCCGGAGCTGCGAACGTACTGGGATCAACACAACGGGTCTCGCTTCGATGAGCGCAGCGTGATGGGTGGGCGTTTGGAGCCCTTGAGGCTTGGACATCTGGCTTGGATGGGTTGGATGATGTAAGGGGACGCCACTTGCCTACATAGGTTATCTAACAAAAAAGTATCTATAATATTCTATAATCGTATTGTCAGTATTGTTATATAAAATTGTCAGATATTTTTGATAAAAGCAGCGTTGTCAGTATCTTCCTTTACAAGGGTCTGTTTTGGGATTAACATGGAGGAATACCCCCGAAAAAGAGCTCTATAGAAGGAGCTCGAACACATATTGCAGTTGGCCACTTGGCTTTCACAAAGCCAATAGTTAAATATCAAAGTGGGGATACCCATCAACCATTGGATTTGAGCCGTTCGCACGTTCGCACAGATGGACTGGTCATGACTGGTCTGCAAGGTTCGGTGAACATGCACCGGCACAGGCGGGTGGCACAAGTGGCTGAAGCACTGCTTTGCCGCGCGCACGGTGGCTGGACTACCGTTGTGGACCTAGGTGCCGTGATGAGATTGGCGAAGATTGGCGCATGGGTTGGTCGGGATCTGTTGGGGTGAAGCTTTTCATGTTCAGAAAGAGATTGATCTAATTACTATATCGATCTATATCGTGTGTTATAGTTTGTATAATACTTGGTTTCTTTTGCTACCCTTTTCCAGTTCTGTCAAGCAAATCCACCCACTTGCCAAATCATGAGCTTCATCCACTTTGGGTACCCCCGCTTTGTGCTGCAAGCTTAGACAGGGACCAGACCAGACCTGGATCCCCGCAGTCACCTCTGGATTGTTTGGTCCGGTGTGTGGATATATATATATATTGTATTTATATATACCTATATAATGGCAATAGCCTCCAACCCTAAGAGCGATGGACTCCAACCTCCTTGAGATTCTGTGGCCAAGGTTGTGGCACTGGACTTTTCGCTCAATTCCTGGCCAATGTACCTGGCCTGAGGGTGGTGGGTGTAGATTTGTCTGAGGGACACCTGCAGGTCGCCCGCCGACATATGGAGGCTGGCCCAGTCGAACAAGAAGAGGTTCTCGGTAGCTTTAAGATGTCTTTTCTGGCAGCAGACCCTGTTGAGAGAATCCTCTGTCCTCCAGCCTCCAGTGGCCACGCTGGAGGTCATCAAAGCAAGCTACCTGGATTGGGAACCAGATGATTGGACTCCGGATGTGGCAGTGCACAACAATTCCATTGAAGACTACGAGGAGTCTTCGTTGCTGCCAAGCACTTCTCAGCACCAACTTCTTTCCCAATCCGTTGATTGATTTCAGATCGGAGTTTCTTCTCTGGTCTTGAGTTTCATTTGTGTCCATCTTCAGATTGGCAATTGCAGGACTCCGTCAAGCTCTATTTCTTTAAGCACGTCTTTCGATGGCTTGCACCGGGAGGGTCCATGTCTTACTTGCTCAAGAAGCACCAAGATGGATTCTATATGATTCTATCTCACTTATCTCAACTGTCCTTCCATGCCAGTTCCCGCACTTCACCATTTCAAGACACGACTGACTTAAAAAAGACAAGTGACAATTCTTTACCCAACGTTTAAGGTACCTCTTGTTCCAAGCCTACTCACCGCGAGATGAACCCATGGGGCCCTGCATTTCAGAGTGTTCACCCGACTTTGCGTCCAAGCACACCATCTTCCTTTGCGACACGGAAAGATATGCAGAGCTGGCAAGAGATGCAGGCTTTGAGATGATCTCTTCTGAGTTGATCCATAGCAAAGGCCGATACCCTCCATCTGAGAAAACATACCAGAGGGAGTTCATCTTCATCGTCTTCTGGAAGCCTTTGACCTGATCAATGGAACTCCACCATTCCAAGACCAGCGATTGACGCTACTAGGAGCAAAGGGCATCGCTACCAGGAGCAGGACGCTACTAGGGGCTCCTGGCCTTACTACTAGGAGCAAGGACGCTACTAGGAGCAACGGGCATCGCTACTATTCTGGACCGATGGATTGCTGGTGACCGAAAGCACCCCTGACAGCGTCAAGCTTAGAGGGTGCAAGTGAAAGCTGCACAAAAGACGGCCGTGGCTGCGGAAGAGGATAAACTTATGGGGTATTACTCAGTGACTTTGCACTACCTAAGAGGCACATTTGTAAAAATCAATATATACTTAATTTTGTGTACAAAGGCGAGGGTTCTTTTGGCGTTTAACTCAGCCACAGTGCGGCAGCATCCAGGACCAAGAGCTATAGTAGGAAGTGCCCGACGAGGGGCTCTTTGAACAATTCGCGATGTTTTTTCCTTGGAGGGGCACGTCCGCGGCAGGACGTGGCACGGCTGGCGACTTTGCTTGGCGAGAATGTGAACGCCGCTCCAGCTCGTTGCTGGCGGATGGACCATGGGGCTCTGGGGACATCAAGTCCAAATGACACAAAAGTCCAAATGACACAAAACTTATGCAACGACTCTTTGCGCTAGAAGATTGATAGTACAGGGGTTACAGAGTGTTTTCCCACAGCCGTATGCTGGTGAATCCAACCCCAGCTAGCACCCTCCAAGGAATACGAACGTATCACCTCAGTACCAGCCAGAGGAGTCCAGATCTTCTGCATGTAAAACATTCACGGAGCAGGGCTTGCCACACACTCTGACATTGGTTTTCAGTTAATCTGTTCCCAAGTGGAAAAAGGTGAGGGAACGGAAAGGTGCATGAGTCCGCAGAAAAGTATTGTTTAACAAAAGTTTCGCAGCAAGCTCAAGTGAAAGCGGCGATCAGAGGCGGCAGAGCGGAGGGAAACCTGTTTGTGGGGAGTAGCATGCAACAACCATGGAAACAAACCGGAGGAAATTGGAGTCACAGCTTGCGATCACGGCAGGTAGGGATGATCAGTCCCAGTAGAAAAAACAGAAACTCTTAGTTACAGAGGTGGACACTATCGGCGCTCTGGAGGAACTTACTAACCACCTAAAAAGCCTTAGAAAGAAAGAAAAAAAGACAGAAAGGGAAACGCAAAGGCAAGAGAGAAAGATAGGTGTAGTGACGCGGCCCACTAGTTACGAAACCTGCTAGTTACTGAGTACTTAGCCGCATGAATTATATGCACTAGTTAGCGAGTGGGACATTCGCTTTGAACCGCCCGGGTAGCTAGGAGTAGAAAAGAAGAAACAGAAGGAAAGGTACCGACACACAAGTGTGTCGAGTACCATTTCCTTCTGTTACCCTAGATAGCGGGTGGGATAGAAGCACGAATTCGGTTGCAAGGTGGGGGGGGGTGCGTGGATGTGCATGTGTGACACATATATATATATATATATGGCCGTAAGCCTGGCGGCGTGGAACGTGAGTCGCAACTGGACATGTCAAACTCACAAGCTCACCCGAAACGACTGAATGCAAAAGTGGAGGTATTGTCGTAAGCCTGACGGCGTGGTATTTTGGGAACCCAGTGGTGAAACAAAGTCCGTTAAGAGAATCCAACCTGTGCAGAACGGAAGAAGGTCAGTTAGTGGTAATCCGGAATGAGGACAGCGCTCCCTTGCGGGAGATCACACCCAGCACCCAAGTGGGACGACTGAGCGGTTCACACTCTGACATTGGCTTTCAGTTAATCTGTTCCCAAGTGGAAAAAGGTGAGGGAACGGAAAGGTGCATGAGTCCGCAGAAAAGTATTGTTTAACAAAAGTTTCGCAGCAAGCTCAAGTGAAAGCGGCGATCAGCGGCGGCAGAGCGGAGGGAAACCTGTTTGTGGGGAGTAGCATGCAACAACCATGGAAACAAACCGGAGGAAATTGGAGTCACAGCTTGCGATCACGGCAGGTAGGGATGATCAGTCCCAGTATCGCTAGGAAATCGAGAGTGTCTTCATTGGTGGCAGACTCTCGTTCCTGCTGCCACCCCCTGCGACTTGAAAGTTGAGAAAAAACAGAAACTCTTAGTTACAGAGGTGCACACACACACACGAGATGATTCTTGCACCACGCATTCTACGATGAGGACAGAGCTATTGTTTCAGCTTCGGCAGCGACCTGCAGGTGTCCAGGCTCTCGTTAAATGATTGCCGCGAGCCTGAATGAGCCTGGTGCCGGAAGGGTTGAGCACGTTGTTTTTTAGAAAACATTGATATAGCTGGTATCTCTGTTGGAGCTGGCTAGACTGAGAAACCATGTTGACATGTCACCTTCCAAGGCTGGGGCTTTGAGACTTGACCTATCCAACTCTACCGCAGAAAACGCTCCCGAGGAGTAAGAGGGTTGCAAGTAGGAACCCAGATGAAGGTTCTGAGACCGTTGAAGAAAGACATGCTGCACTGCCCGAGATTCCGAAGTGGGGAATCCACGACCAACACGGATGATTTACTGACACTGAGGTTCCAGGACTTCCTCCATCGACCGACTGATCATGTCGGTCAGGTGAACTTGCCATGGTCACATTCTCGCATTTTCGACCATTCTAGCAACCCCTCACTGTCGATGGATGGATCTCTCTTGTTTACCTTTTTCGAGCGTTTTGGGGCGAATGCATGCGAATGCGAGGCAACCTGGGCGACCAGGGGGCCGAACATCTCGCAGAGGCTGGACCGTTGGCGTGCCTACAATGCTCACCAGGGTTGGTGCAGTCATGCATCGAACATCATTTAACAATTTTTGTTTTGGTGGCTGCACCACTTTTTGAAAGTGGGGATGGGTTGGGTGGAGATGCCAATTTGTTTCCATTTACCGAACCCATTTTGTCCAATGCAGCTTCGTGTGCTTTCTCTTTCCCTGCGCCTCCACCGAAGAACGGTGCTACAAAGATGATGAGTCTAAAACACCCAAACCAGCTGGCGTGTTGGTGCGTCTACTGTTGTTGCTGGAGTGTTCTTTGCCTGGCTCGCCTGACGGGGAAGGAGCAAGAAAGCCTTGAGTACGAAGTTCCTTCTTCCCAGTGAGACTCTAGAGTCTAGGCATTTAAGCATTTGATGGCGTTTGGTTTGTGTTTTTGCCTTTTTGAGGGTCACACATGTTCCAACACGAAATTTCCGTCGGGAGGATGACAATGGGATAAGATGGCTTCTCTTGTCGCGGATAGTTTGTGAGAAGCAGGGCTTCAGGAATGGCAGGACGAGAGACGTTCACATGTCAACATAGAAACCGCATATTGAAAGACGCTTCTGGACATGAGCTTTCAAGTGTCCATGTCAAAGCTGAATATAACTTGCGTATAGGTGTAACCCATTCAGAAAGTTAATGTGGGTCTGCAATAGTCAACTCCCCCTGAGTCCACAGAGATAGTCCTCCGAGAAGCACTCCTGTGGTGGTAGTAGTAGTAGTAGTAGGAGTAGCAGTAGCAGTAGCAGTAGCAGCAGCAGCAGCAGGAGCAGGAGCAGGAGCAGTAGCAGTAGCAGTAGCAGTAGTAGCAGCAGGAGGAGGAGCAGCAGCAGCAGGAACCGCAGCAACACCCAAAACACGGGTCAGCAATATTCGGAATAACAACATGTGCGTATTCTCTCCCCACCGTCACCACGTGAGTATTGACGAACTAACATCAACTGCATCCCCCCGTGTCCATATGTGCCCTGCGAACACATGGCCGGGGCACACGAAAGCAATCTTGCAAATGAGATGCTCCTCAAAAGAACGGGCCCGGAACGTGAGTGTGGACGCAACAAAGAATTCATTTTCATAAGGCGCCCCAGTTGGCCCTATAGGGTCTTGTGAGAAGCTTCAGAGCACTGGGAGCCGGTCCTTCACAAGGCTTTGGCCGAGAACGAGGTCTTAACATCCTTGTCCTTGGAAGGGAACCGAGTGAGCGCCTCAGAAGACAACGGTTTTGGAACTGGGATGCTTTGTGTATCGAGAAGATTCTGTAAATTCACAGACTGTAATCTCACAAACTTCGGCTGTTCCTGGGTATCAAGAAGGGGCACGGACTTCCTCTTAAAAAAGGTCGGAGACCGCGGGGCTGCGCGCTTGGCAGCTGCGCTTGAGCGGAACGAGGCGGTGGCAGAGCTGTGGAGGGAAGGTGGGAGTGGTGCAAGTCCAAGTGAACGCGTTTTTGAGTCCAGGGATGTAGAAAGGGAGAAGGCACCGTGAGGTGAGGGATCCTTTTTGAACTTGTCCTTGGAACGCAGGGGTTGTGTCCGAGCACAGTACAATTTCAATGGATGTTTGATGTACTTTGTGTATTTTGTGTGTAATGAAGAAGTAGTTGTAGTGACCAGTGGTCGATTTGACAGTCAGTTGATTTTGTAGTGTAGGAGGTTCTATTTCATTGGGAGAATATGGATGTAGATTGATTATATAATTGTTTTAAAAAAACTTATCGGGATCTTCGCAACGTTGACCAGATCCTGCTTTGGAGTGATTCTGGGTACATGGAACATGTTATTTGTTGTCCTGACTGTGTTTTAGACAAAAGGATCTCCAGAGCCGTTGCAGTTTCAGTCAACAGAAACGGAGGGTACCTTTTGCTTGCAATAGCAATAGCAGCACTTGGCTGATCTGCCTGCCTGCCATTTGCTGCCTGCTGCGTTGGTGTCCTCGGTGTTGTTTTCAGACAGAGACCAGAGCGTGTCAAGACAATCACCCAAAAGCAGAGATCAAGGCCAACTAGGGGCCGAGGATGGCCCAGGGATCAGTCTCACAGATAATTACAGGCACTTATAGTGTAATAACAACATATTATAATAGTAATGGTAATAACAATAGCAGTAGCAGTAGAGTAGCAGTAGGAGTAGTAGGAGTCGGAGTCGGAGTCGGACTGGGTGCTCGGGTTAACTTGTGCCGGAATGAACTTGTGCATGAACTTGTGCCCTTGGGGGAAAGCTTGATTGGGCTAAGTTTTTGTATGTATGTTGTTGTTGATCACAGGTTGAGAATTCGACCAAGCCGCAAGGGCACACTGTTGATTCTGTCTCAAGTTTATTGTACTCCCAAGTGCACCTTTGCGATTTCATGTTTTTGGCTCCTCTACATTGTGATTAGGTTTTTTTCAACAATCGTTGCAAAACGGTGTCCCCAAGCAGTTTTGTGTTTAGGAGTGTAGACGATCATTGTTTGGTCATTTCATACTGTGTATTTGTTCTTTTTTGTGACTAGTGACTAGTGCCTTGAATACAACCAGCCTCAAGTTGCGCTTCCCAACCAATGTTGGGACAGAAAGGGGGCAGGCCTCATTTGCCTCGTGCATTTGTTTCTACATACTGGGTGCCTGCGCTTACCCCTGTCGTGGTCAAGATCTCGTATGGAAGCCGGTGTGCCATTGGGGGGAGCCTGCACCTCCTTGGGCGGCATCTGTGGCGGCGATGGGAAGTCCCCCGCATGCTCCACAACCACCTGTCTTGACCAAGTGTTCGCGCGGCGCCGTGTATTTCCCTTACATACCATGTATTTCCCGTAAACAGGGGAGATGCCATGTTCAAGTGTGAGTACATTTGCCCGAGGTTGTAAGACCTTGGTCCCTGATCCATTGCTCAACATGTAATGATGCCCAGCTGTGCCAACTTTCTGAGCGCTTCAAACTACTCTCCAGACAACCACAGTTGTTGGTCATGTCTCCTCGACTTACTGGCTTCCTTAATCAATTCTCACTCCACCCGCACCTGCAACCAAAAGTCCCAAATCCCTGTGACCTCCTTGCCATTCGCCAGGGTCAGGCGATAGGGCACAGTGGGATTGGTCGCCAGAACATCTACACCTGGGAGCACATTTGTCCGCACCGTGGATTCCATGGCAGCGAAAGAAACCCTCAGATGTTCTCAAAAGAAAAGCAACTGTAAAAAAGTGGTTCCGCTTCTGCACCAAGTAGCACCTTCAAGGGACATCTTGTCCAAGTGGTGTTTTTCTTCTCTCGGACGGGTCATACCATGGAATGTTTTTGGTTTGCACATTCTCTTGCAGTGTTTTCTGGAGGTTTTCCTTGCAAACGTCCGTTGTTCCTATTCTGTCAGGTTTATGTTTGCTGTTTTTTGTTTCAGATTCAGGGTGATTCATGGGTTTGTTGCTTCAAGTGTGGTGTGTGATCTTCTGGAAGTCATTGTCTGTCTAGAGTCTAGATTCTCGACATCGAAGGAAATCGTGATGAGAATGTACTCCAAAGTACCGGTCTCATCTGGCTCTGAGGAAAGTCAGCAAGGTTTTCGCTGCAGACTCGGTCTCCGCGCCGTACTCGCTGGTCAGACGCTGCCGAAAAACGTCCAAGCGCAAAAGGCCCAGAAAGCCGCACCTGAAGCCACTCCGAATGAAACATCACATGCCGTGTCCAGACTTCTCCCAATAACTCCTGTCCACGTGGAATGATCCCTTGCGTTTGTCATCGCAGCGCCCCGGCATCGATTCAAAACCAGTACAACACGATGACAACATCGTTCTGTCTACAGCACATGTTTTTCATACATCCCCCAACCCCCATACCATGCATTTGTTTGTCAAAACTGAATGGTACCGGGTCATTCATTCTATCACAGTGCCGCATTTCATGCTGCCTTAACTTCCACGATCAATGACTGACCCACCAAGCCTGAACCCAGCACCCAACACGGGTGAGATATCTCGTTTCGCCTCCAGCGGGCTGAGTCACGAAGGAGTTGTGGTGAGTCCAATCCCACGTCACCACGTCACTTTCAAAGAAGTATAATGCAACCGGTGCAAACATAAACCTGGATACTGCGATTCAAAAAAAGTTCGCCCCGTGGCTGTGCCAATAGTCCACTTGGGCCGTGCGCGTACAGAATTCATTCTACCAACAGCCCGCCGTGACACGAAGCCTCAAATCATGTTCTTGACGGGGGTAGGATGGCAATGTCCGAAATATCCCGCTTCAGCTCCAAAAAATCAAGGTAGCGTTGTGGGGACCCTTTCCCGTTGTCCAGGTCACTTTGAAAAAGGCGGATTTGCTGAGGCTTCAGGCATTCGAGTCAAAAGAGACGTTTGCTTTGGGAAATGGGAAGCTGCTAGAAGCACAAAGGGCACAAACAGCACCAGCACAATCCACCAGCTTTCTGCATGCTCGCGTCGGGTCACGATGGTTCCGCAGGAGAAGCTCCGCTTGACAGACCCATTTGTCCGTATTCTTTCAACAAACACGCCCAGTCCGACAGCCGCTGAGCCCGCTTGCCAAGATCCCCTTCACACACACACACACTTAGAGAGTTGCTCGCAAGAGCTATTATCAGTACGAAGTTCCCCTTGACTGGAAGAAAAGTGCAAACCGAAGGGCGAGGAAGTCCGGAAAATTGAAGATGTCTAACAAATTGTTGTAGTGCATTAGCCGCTTACTGCAAAACACAGAATGGGACAGCTTGTCAACAGTTCAACAATCAAGCAGGTACATGGTTGAGCGTCCTCAACCACTTCCCTTCCAGTGGCCCAGCTTCGTTGGATCAGGTTCTTACATTCGTGGGGTACGCGGGTGTGCCATGGGGGTGGGTCAAGTTCATGTGCGATGGGGTAAGTTACCACGTCGGGTCGTAGTAGTCGTAGTAGTAGTAGTAGTTGTTGTAGTTGTTGTTGTTGTTGTTGTTGTTGTTGTTGTTCTTGTTGTAGTTGTACTTGCACATGTAAATGTAAGTGTAAATGTAACGACGCAACAATAGCCATGTGACCCTCCACTTGATGACAAATCACGGGAGGCCTTGACGTGCTTGAGCCTCGGCAGGCAGGGAAAAAGCGCTATTGCAAAGCGATGGGCAATCTAGGATCGATCTGGATCGACAAGCAACCCTGGAAAGAAGATTCACTTTCATGGCGAGTGACAGTCTTGCTGGAAATTGCACCGGAAAAGAGGGACAGCGCCGTGACAGCGCCTCTCCTTTCTGCATATCCATTTTACCAAGCCGCCCAAGCCACTTACCAGTGTTTAAACCAATAAAGCTCACTCAAAACCAAGCCTGACTCCGGACCAAGCTGACACCAGGAACTGCGTGGGTGGACAGGGAGTGAAGCACTTGCTCGACGCGCTGGAGAGCAACTATACTCTGCTGACTCTGGACAGAGATCTGGCCATCGCTGTTAGGCTGGAGGCCATCGCTATTAGGCGGGAGGTCATCGTCTTAGGTTGGAGGCCATCGCTAGTAGGTTCCTTGTTCTATTATTAGGTTGGATGTGGGCGTCTGATCAGACGGCGGCTGAACAACTCATTTTATCAATACAGTTTGCTGGAGGTGATATTGTGGTATCATTCAAGGCAAAGCATTTTATAGATCCAAACTGTGATTTGTAGCTTTTTGGTTTTGACAGGCCTGGATAGGGCTATGCGTTTTATAGAAAGGACGGCTTTTGATTTTATGGAGAATAATGATTCTCATAGTATTTCATAGCCGTTGTTTTTTTCTACAACATGAACTGCTGCCAGGCCTTACCACCAGACAAGGGGGTTCGAAAAGCGAACCAGCCGCGCAAGGCTTAACAAGTGGTCATCCCTTTAGAGTCAGAAGAACCACCAAAACCAAAACCCAAGCAGCCTACCTCAAGCCCTTTCCAGGTCCGTGTTCTTTATCGTGAAGTTCTCTCTTGGTTTTGTATGGTTTGTCCGATTGGTGCATGTATTCACTGCTGTGTTAATTAAAGTAGAATCATTTGTACACTTACACTCTTGATATATATATATATATATCTTCTTTATGGGTTTTGAATGCTGGTTCTCAATCCATTGTTGCGATTTTGAAGGGTATGTGTGTGTGTGTGTGTGTGCGAGTGTCTCGCAACGGTTAGATGACTAGGTTTCTGAAAAACGTTACCAAGACCCCCCATGTAGCTTGGTGTTGTGAGAATCATTGAGCATTTCCATTGAGTCTCATACCCCTTGTGGCCCTTGTCGGAGTGGATAGGCTTTTGCAGGGTCCTCGGCTGTATTTGGTGTTCACAACCGTGAAATCGGACCGGGAACTGGCACCTTGAGCCGTACGACCGTGAGGACCTGGCCAGCAACTCGGGGTCGCACCGGCCCAGCTGGTCCAGTGCAGGACAGCCCCATGGGGTGGGAGTCGACAGGACTCCCGGGGTTGACAGATTTGTAGATTCACCATCCTTAAGGGTTCTGAGGAGTATT